TGGTATCCCAAGTGTTGATTTTAAAGACCTTTCAAACTGTCCCTGATAGGATTTTGTCGTGTTGTCCATCCCAAATGGAAAAGAACTCGGCCTTTTGAAAAAATTCTGAGGGTAATCCGAGTTGTTTTGGGTTGTATTCTGGAATCTTGCCAAACAAGGACTCGACTTCTTGAAAGCACTCGAATAAGACTTCATCTCGGATACGGAGCTTGAATTCGAGTCGGATGGAATCTTATTCGAATCGGGTATTATGAGCTGCGCGAATCTTCTGATGAGTTGATCCGTCGTAGTTGTCGAAATAGAGGATTCTTCATGATGATCCGGATCTTTGAGGAGATGACTTTGAAGCTTGCCATAGTTGTCCGCCTCGCAGATCCACGAGCCGAAGATGAAAATCGATCCCGTCGGGAAGATCATGTTATTGAGGTCCATCGAGCTCTCGGATGCAAAGTCGCCGAAGGCCCCTACCTGGCGCGCCAGCTGTCGATGTTTTACCACCGGTAACCCGCCACGGGAGTACCCGGGGCGGTGATTTGTTCGGAGGGGTATCGGCGTTTGCAGGAACTCGATGGTAAACGCAAGAGACAGTCGATTTATCCTGGTTCAGGCCCTCGATCATAGATCGAGTAACGACCCTACGTCCAGTCGGCGTTTGCCTTTGCGTTGGATTAATTATGAAGTGTTCTCGTACCAATCGTCCTCTTTCAGGAGCCCTGCCCTCCTTTATATAGTCAGGAGGCCAGGGTCCTAATCGGTTTACAATGAGATTTCCTAGTAGGATTACTTAATAGTTCTATTACTGAGATTACATGGGAAGAATCCTAGTTGGACTAGATCTTCTCTCTCTCTTGCGGGGTATCCTGTGGGTCCCGCATCGACAGTGAGGTCCTTGCCCTCATGCCCTTGGGCACATATATAGGCAATGGCTACTTACAAGTGGCCCCTTGGTGGGGTTAGATTTCACATGACACTACTCTAGCTGCTAGATGGGCCTCTTTTTGGGGAAGATTTGGCCGATATACCTCATGGGCTCCCCCAACAGTAGCTCCTCAGCTATTGGGTTATGAAAGGTACAACATGACCTAATAGATGCTCATACTAGATGAGGCATGGAGAAAAGAGAATGCACATGCCTCTAGTCTATACAAATGCTAACTCAGGAAGCTACTCACTCCAAGTGCCTCAATGTCAATCTCCCCGGTATCTTTATAATTGGCATTTGGCTTCCTCAGCCGCTTCTATGACATGGATTGTTAGCTTCGCTCGACCATAGGTCTTTGCCTCTGGGACCTTCTTAGCATGTAGATCTTTGCCTCTGGGACCTTCTTGTTGCATAGATCTTCATCTCCGGAACATTATTGGCATGTAGATCTTTGAAAGTCATCGATGAGCCCCTCGAGCCAAAATGGTCGAGGAAGGTGAAGTAGTCCTCGGTGCCAAATGAGTTGATGTAGACCCTCAAACTGGCGATGAAGGCTAGTTGTCATAAACGTTGATGCCAAAGGTATTGACAAAGGCTCTTGAGCCGTTGTATTAGCCAAAGATGACAGGGAAGCCTCTCCTGGCGAAGTGTTGGTGGAGACGAGTCGTCACAATCATCAAAGATGTTGGCAAAGGCCCTCATACCAAAGTGTTGGAAGAGGTGAGTTGTTGTGGACGCCGAAGATGTTGGTGAAGGCCCTCTTGCGAAGGTGTTGACGAAGGCGATGTTGGTATAGATGCCGAACATGTTAGCGAAGCCCCTCGTGCAAAAGTTTTGGCGGAGGCAAGTTGTTGTAGCCTCTGAAGATATCGACGAAGATATGTTGTCAGTGTTGGCGTCAAAGGTTAGTCATTACAATCGCCGAAGATGATGGTGAGGCCCATCGCTTCGAAGTGTTGGCATGGGTGAGTCGTTGTAGTCGCTAAAGTGTTGGCGAAGCCCTTCCTACTGAAGTATTTGCCAGGAGCAATGTTGGGGGAGCCCATTAGGTATATGGGCCAAGTCCCCTCCTAGAAGAGACCCAACTAGTAGCTAGAATAGTGTTATTTGAAATCCAACCCCACCAAGGTGTCACTTGTAAATAACCATTGCCTATATAAGTGCCCAAGGGCATGAGGGCAAGGGACCTCACCTCCCACTCATTTTCACTTGTTCAAAACCCTATTGTGTCCCGTCTCCTCCCTCTTACTTGTTTAGAACACCACTAGTTCCAACATAATAGACTTGGAAACATATTACCCTATATATTCTACATGTATTTGAGTATTTGTGTTAATAATTTTTTTGTTTAGTTAAATATTTCTGTGCATAATTCATTAATAATTTTCATGTTTTGTATAAAACCGCAAAATGAATAGCTTCTGCTGTACTTCGCTATAGCATTCTATAGCTTTTGGAGAAGGTCGCCGCTAAATATCATAGCCCACTATTTAAAACGTGGACTAGCGGATAGATATACCTGGTCAGGTGGAAGTGGGGCCTTTCTATTGGCCGGATGACTGCGCCTCCAATCGAAGTAGGACCACTAGTTGATCAGCAAGCTATTCATATATCGCCCGATTCCTCCTCGACATCTCTCACCAGTTGGGAGGAACTGCTTCTCTGGATGAAGTTGCTTGGGGGAAGATAGGAAGGAGAAGCTGTGAAAGTAAAGCGGCCCGCAAATTATAAAGGGTCGAGGAGAACAAGAAAAGCAATGCATGCAACAAAAGCCAGGAAAGGAATCGATGCTTGCTAGCTACAAAGTTTGTAGCCAAACCTTGCTTAGATCGTGGTTGCTAACTACCCTCCCGACTCTGAGTCCCGCTGCGCCATGGGTGATTGGGTTGATGAGAGTTGGGAGGAGCAAAGGAGGAGCCTGGCGCCGAGGTCTCAGGCGAGCAAGAGGAGATAAGAAGCCGAGCCTGAACTCCGAGAGGGAGGGGATCTAGGTGGGAGCACGACACTTATTAGCCGCTCGTCTCGCGTGCGCCTGTGAGCTGCCTACGAGCTGAACTGCCGTGAGGAAGAGGGTTTGCAGCCTATGCCCTTTAGCCCCGTAGGCCTGCGTCTCTCTCTCTCGTCCATAATGCATTCACCGGCTGCTCATCTCAGACCTGCATGCACTCATGGAGCGTGGGCACGCAACGGGAACGTCGTCTCTCTCTCTCACCACAAGCTTTGCACACTAGCAAATGTTCAACAATCAATGCAAGGCTCTATTCAATTCAACACAGGCATTGGCACGTTGCGCCCTCTCTGCCCAACACAACAGTGCTCATCCTCCTCTCGTGTGAGAGCAGTAGGCTAGTGGTCATCATGTTACCCTTCCTTTTTTTCAACATCTTATTAGTAATATGTCCAAATTATGAAGGAAGAGCTAAAACCCTATCTAGGCCTTTAAATTGGAAATATAAGCGCATCTAAAGTTTGCTTCATGTATTGCACCTCTTTGCGCCGGAGTGGAAAATACTGTTCATTCCCACAGCTTCCTGTCGAGAGTCAAAGATGCTGACGGACTGCACATACACCTCTACATTTGGAAAGCAATGCCAATGCACATAGTATTCCTCCAGGAGAGAGATCAGTAAATAAACAACCGAGAACTAACAAATTTAAAGATTTGTTTGGATCCCTATAACTAATAGTTAACGGAGGATATATTTAGATCCTCAGCTAATAAGCCTAGCTAATGTCTTACCTACCATCCAGCTAATACTTGCTTCTTTTTTTCAAATTATAGGATGTTTTGTTTTTTTCTACATACATAATTTTTGCTATGTACTTAGATATACACTATACCTGGATACATGGTAATAAAAACAATATATCTAGAAAAACTAAAACGTCTTGTAATTTGAAATGGACGGAGTAGCTATTAACTGGTTTAGCTAACATGGCTAATAGTTTGTTGGGTGGATCAATTAGGGCCTAAATCCTTGGAATCTAGGCGCAAGGCAGGTTAGTGGCGAACTGTGGTTTGACATGCATTTGATGCCGGCAAAGTAAGGCCCCGTATCCTCTGGATTTTGAGAATCCGGATACAAAAAATCCCACAATTCTAGATTCCAAATTTATAGGAATTTTGACTTACAGATTTTTAAAATCTTGAAATCCAATAAAACTGTTGATATTCTTTTATCTGGTTCTCAGAATCCCCTTGGATCCAAAGGCACCTAAGAGGAAGGAAACAGCTTGACGCCGGCAAACTGCCATACGTCTCACTTGATGCTCTTTTCAGTAACTACTCCAATAATTGTACTCCAACTATACTGCACTGCATTCTGCACTACGAGAGAGATAAAAAGAGAAAGAAATCTTTTCTATATGGACTAGTAGAAATACAGTATCTTCTGCATGCAGATTACGCCATTGATCTGTCTTCTCTGGCTGCAATGAATAAGGTAGGAGTAGTGGTAGTAGTAACCATTAACCAAACGAGTTGGAAGAGAGGAATTAATCCACCAACTAAAAACGTGATCTACCCACAAATCAATCCAACCACCCCGCCGCGTCCGAGCCGAGGGAGAAGAAATCAGATCACTGACGCCGTGACGCGACTGATCGTCGTCATGATCTGCTGACTGCTGCTGCTGCACTCGTGCCGTCTCCCGCCACATCGCATTTTCCACGCACTTTTTTTCCCTTAAATACGAAAAAGATTTACGATAGTAAAGATAAGAGTTTAAAAAACATATAACGTGCTTCTATTAAACATCGAATAAGATCGATCTAACACAGTCAAAACTAGACCATCATAACAAAAAAAACTTATATTTTAATATTACATAAAAGCGACCAAAACACCTTTGTAGCCACCTTGCGTCTGCCTGGACTCCGCGCACCCTTTTTGGCTGCACGCTCACGTACGCGGCGCAGGTTTCTGTTCTGTGGCGCCATCCATCCGTTACAGGTGCGCAGGACGCCGGCCTAGTTTCTTCTTCTCCTCCTCCTCCCAGCCGGCCGGCGGCCTCCGCCTCGCTCGCTCGTCCCTGCGCTCTCGGTTTGTCGTCTGTTCCCCCCGCAACCGTGCCGCGCCATGGGGCCTCCGCGGGGCAGCAGGACATTGCCTTCTGCCGTCGCTACGGCCTTCGTCGCCGCGGCGGTGGTGGCCATCATCATCTGGTCCGCAGCCGCTGCTGAAGTGGTCGAGGAGAGGCTGACGGTGCCCATGACGATCGTCACCGGCGCCGCGTCGAGGGGTGCAGGCAAGCGGCCTCCGTTTCTTCTCCTTCTTCTTCTTCCCATGGTGACTGAGCAGCGTAGTCAGGCTACGTGATCCATCCGCCGCGTTTAATTTCTTTGTACCCGCACCCGCAGTGTGCCTCGACGGGAGCCCGCCGGCGTACCACCTGCACCGCGGCTCCGGCGCAGGCTCGCGGAACTGGCTGCTCCAGTTCGAGGGCAGCGGCTGGTGCAACGACGTGCGGTCGTGCGCGGAGAGGGCCCGGACGCGCCGAGGATCCACCCGGCTCATGGCCAAGGTCGAGTTCTTCTCCGGCATCCTCAGCAACCGTGCGGCCATGAATCCAGGTATACGACGGACGGACCAATCTTCTCACCTCCACCACCTGATTGAATTCAGCTTTGAAGCAGCTAGACAAACATACTTTAGATCGCTGAGGCACAATGTCCCATACTCCCATGCATTCATGTTTGGACGTGAGCTCAAACTTTTTTGCAATTCATTCGACAAGCCAATAAGCCTTCGGCAGCAAACAGCGTACGTTCCCGTTCCTGGTGGTACAGCTTACTTTTGCAAAAGGTGACAGCGCGATCACAGGTTCACAATCGGGATTGGGTAGGTAGCGCGAACAGTTTGCTTTAATCCAGTTCCGTGCGTTTGTTTGGAGAATTCAAGGTCATGGCCGTACAAAAATCATTTAGCCAGCGTCGGGTGGGATAAGATGCACATTGCTTTATTTAGTTTCTGGCCCACCTAAGTGGCTAACTCTACATGGTACATCTGCATTCTGCTTCAGCCGTCCACTGTTAAATTTTCTGGTGACAGGAATTAGCAGAGTTCGATGCAAACATATAGATTGATAAATGCTAAATTACTGGTAAATATTGAGAGGATTTATATATTCTCTACTTTGACAATCATTCCTCTTGCGGCATTGTTATATGTAACCTATGTGTCATTCTTGATTTGCACCACCAAGCTCATCAATTCTCCATTCCGAGAGCTTCACAAAGTTCCTTTTCCTTATTTTTTTGAATTGATATTTCCATTCTTGTCTTGCTGCAATCTCAATTGTCCAATCTTTTTCAGTACATCTATTTTTACAAAATTAAGTGTGCTAAGACGACCCTCGCTAAACTGTTGAGCAGACTTTTACAACTGGAACCGTGTGAAACTGCGTTACTGCGATGGCGGATCCTTCATGGGTGATTCAATATATACAAACAGCGTATGCTTACTGTTTGGTTGCAATTGTATATATGAAACTATGTTTGCACTCTGGAGCACTAGCTTACCATTTGGTATTTGCCCATTTTTGCAGTCCACAGTCCTCTACTTTAGTGGTCAGAGGATATGGGATGCTATCACTAATCTGCTTGGGAAGGGACTGGTGAGAGCCGAAAAGGTTCCCCCATCGGTTTTCCTTGCAACCTGTTATGCCCGTGTCACCTTGGCATCTTCAGCATAAACATCAATTTCTTCGGTTGATAAATTAGTCTGGACTTGTGCTTTGCATATTTCAGGTTCTGCTCTCAGGTTGTTCAGCGGGAGGCCTAGCTACATTCTTCCAATGCGACAGCCTTAAGGAGCGGCTTGGAGGCACTGTCACGGTGAAATGCCTCAGTGATGCCGGATTTTTCCTTGATCTGTAACATTGGATGCCTAGCTACCAAAAATATATATTTTTGGCTTTTTCGGTTGATCCGACAAATGCTTCAAATTCTGATATCCCTTCTTTCCAGGAGTGACATTTCTGGGAACAACACCATAAGGCAATTCTTTAGTAGCCTAGTCTCCTGCAGGTTTGTCACTACTGTCTCTTTGTCTAATTGAATTTGGGAACATCTGATAATAATCAGTCTGTTCGCTTGGTCGTAAACGATCGTAAATTTCCAGCCAGAACAGTATTTTTCTCTCACACCAAACCAGCCATCAGTAAATAATGTTTTGGAACCATGACCTTTCCTGTAGAGAGTTCAGAAGAATTTGAACATGGACTGCCTGAATTCAACAGACAATGCATACCTGGTATATATTCTTGGGATTCTTAGTTCACCTTCAGGATACTAATCAAAATTTTAGCAATGAGTCGATGATCAGTTTTGATGATCCTTGTCTATGCAGTGTTTCTTCCCACAGTTCGCACTTCCAAACATCAGAACCCCGTTTTTCATCTTGAATTCAGCTTATGATGTATATCAGGTAAATCGACTTGTGTTGCTGAAGTTCTCTCCTTTTTGAATAACTTATTAGTATAGTTTTTCGACACCTGGTGTCAAGTAATAATGCTGGTTTAACATTTTTGGACAGTTCCATCACATTTTGGTGCCCCCTTCATCTGATCCTAGGGGCCATTGGAGCCACTGTAAGTCAGATCCTGGTGCATGCAACACATCACAGATAGCAACCCTCCAAGGTTAACTCTCTGCTAAACAAATGGTTCAGATTCATATTATACAGAACAATCATCTGCGATGTTCTAAATTGAAGCTACTGTTTTCATGGCATGATTCAGATTTTGAGTTTTGTTTGCAGGACTGAGAAGTGCAATGTTGTCATCTTTGAAACAGTTTGAAAGCAAACCAAAGGCAGGGATGTTCATTAACTCCTGCTTTGAACATTGCCAGAGTGAGCTGCAGGACACATGGTTTGCACCAAATTCTCCATTGATAGATAACAAGGTAAACAAGCTGTATTGCCAGAAAGTACATGTTCTTTTTAGCCATAGGTGGTGCTTTGGTTAACATTATAGAGTTTCAGAAAATTGCAGAGGTGGTAGGTGATTGGTACTTTGAAAGAGGTGCTGCCATGGAGATTGACTGCGCCTATCCTTGTGATTCAACTTGTCTACCTTATACCATTTGATCAGGTTAGTTTCTTCCGTGAAAAGAGGTTGTTATTTTGGCAAAATAACCCTACTGGTTAGTAACACTTTAGCCAAAAATGAAACTGAGAAATAATTCGTCATTGAACATAGGAATTGAGGATTTATTAGGAGTTTGGCATACGATTATACTCAATTATCATCATAATAGCAAAACTCTCTTCTAATTGGTGATAATATGTTAGTTGCATCTGGTAGCAGGCCAATGATACAAAATATTGGTTCACACTATAGTTACCTTTTACTTGATTATTGCTTTGTATGTATCACTGAATATTAAAAAAAAGATGAAATCCATATTTTCCAACTTAAACAGCACAATATTCCCATCTTTCACATTTCACAGTTGGACTGTAAACTATACTGTGCAAGGTTGAACTAAAAGTTTCCTACACTACCCTTTTCTGCAGAATGGAATCTCTGGCGCCTGAAGTGGACCCTGGTTCAGTAGCATTAACATTAACATTTGCCCAAAAATGATTGATTACCTGTATATATTGCACATTGCGTCAAAATTCAATTTGGCACATGGATGAATAAAATGTAGAGCCAATGCTCTTGAAAGATATGCAACATTTGGCATGTTTTCCCCGTCACTTTGATCTGTGGGTCTTCTTCCATTTAGAGGCAATCTTTTTGGGGCTTTATTAATGGTTGACTGAGTAGCTGACTGAATGGATTTGTGTGCTATGTGCTAGAACTGTTTGGACACATACTACATGTGATGCTGTCATGCTGAGATTGTTTTTGGTCATATAAACAGTAGACCCTACTGCTGCCCTAATTTGGGAGGTTTCACAAGATAATGTTTGTCAAGGGAATTATAGCTTCATCTATTTCTTGGCTCCCATATTCTTCTATGTACAAAGAGGGGCAGAAAGCAAACATAACAACACTAATTCTTTCTAGTGCAATGACACAATTCTCTCGTCTATACGGCACAAAAGCTGTTACAATTCTTCATCTACTTGTTTGGACAAACCAAAGCTTACTCTGAGTCGTTTAAATTGTAAATGTTAATGTATTTGAACAATATCATGGGAATAAACCATCTACCCTATAAATGTAAAGAATCAGGGCCGATTAAGGTATCATCGATCGGTCAAATTAATCTATCTTTTTACTCCTTTTGCCTTTTATGTCTTTTACTAGCAAATATGCCCGTGCGTTGCAACGGGAGAAAAAAAATCAAATATAACTCCTTGCCGAGATTTTTTTGCTCTTTAATATTTATAGCAAATTTGCCCGTGCGTTGCTACGGGTCAAAAAAAATCCGTGATATGTTTTTTATCTGGAGTCGTACCCGTGCGTTGCAACGGAAACCCATACATCTTAGAGTTAGACTCTGCGCCATTGCTGCTAGACACGATTTGTTTTAATTTGTATTAGCACACGTCTTGAGTAAGAGTCATGTCGAGGATTGCACAGATACACATGCACAATTTATACATACATTTATTTATATTAGATTTGATAACAAACTGCTCACGATTTTAGTTTTACGATTTAATCTCTGGAATCATTGATTGATCCTGTTTCTTTTTCTAAGAGTGATTGATCCTGTTTCTAAGAAGAACAGGTTTTATTAATCAAAATATTATGAACAACTTATTGGCAATATTTGTTTATGATGAAAGGGTCAAGGTTCAAATACCCATAATATTAGATTTATCATTTGTTTTTATTGTTACACGGAGAAAAGGATAAATATACTAATATAAAAAAACAAAAAAGTCGGCAAAGGAAAATACCAAAAGAAAGACGAAAGAAAAAAAACAAAAAACAAAAAATGAAAAGGAAAACCAACAATAATAGATGCAACACACGGACGGTTCTCTACCTTATCCTTATCCCGTCTACACGCACGCGGAGGAACCTCCCTGCGCCGCCCTCCACCACTCCCAGCGCCGGCCTCGCCCTTCCCCGCGCCGAGCCTCCTCCGCTCCTCCGGTGCCGGCATCCACGCTGGCCTCCTTGCCCCTCCCCGCACCGGCCGGAGTCCCTACCACCACCCGGTCTTCGCGGAGCATCGCCGCCTCCTCGTGTGCCTCGCCGCCGCCGTTGTGGCCTTCACCGACGCCGCGGCCCTGATGGCCTCCGATCTGGCCGACTTCGTCTGGTCCGACATGGATGAGGTTCCCCGCAGCGTGAAGCAGCTAGCCAAGCTCCACACCTCTACGTGCTCGTCTATTAGAGAGCCTAGGGTTTGTAATTTATCTCCGCTTATATTTAATTTGTGCCCATCGCCATGCTTTCTTGAGGTCGTCAACACCTATTGTTTTGATTTTATATGTTGTTGTCTTTCTAAAGTTAGTCTAATTTGGATTTGGATTTGGATTGCTATTGGTATAAATTAACACACACAGATAAATCCGCAAACACACGGATACCGCTGTAGCTTTCACTTGGAAGTAGTCCAAGTATCGTATCCACAGGGAAACTTGTGAGACTAACTACGGTCTAACTTAACTAAGGGTAAGTCAGGATAAGATATATATGATAAGTACATGATAATTGAGCATTGATAATGAATAGTTAACCACCCAGAGTACTCTTTTCTAAGACATTAGCATGACCAGGTAGAAATTAGAGAGATAATTCCTAAGTCATTCTTAGTTACTAGTCAAAGCATACGATGATTAGTGCAATTACACTTAGTAGTCATGGCTAAGATCATCTGTATATCTATACATAAGGGATATTACTAAGGAAGATTAATAACAGAGCTTGTTCTTCTTTCGTAACCAGACCCTACGTGTGCCTATATTCGGGAGTGGACTATAAAGGACTCAACGGGAGTGTCACATCCGCGATCTACCACATGACCCAGAATATAGGGTGTACCCGCGGGTAAACAACGTATAAGCACCATGCTTACACAATGTCGACCACTCACCCCGTGCGTAGCGGAACAAGTGCTATACGAACTTATGCATGGACATAATGACAAACTAGCTATACTAGATATATAATCAAAGTAGACGATGAATATTATAATGAAGAACATGAATAAGATGAATACTAATATTGTCATAACAATTGTAGTAAGCATATAAAAGTAACAGAGATACAAAAGAGAGGGGGGACAAAGATTATACCAAACCACGCTCTTGACAAGATCGGGAATTCTAACAAAGCCTGCTTGCCTCTCTCTAGATCTAACCTAGCTAGCTATGCTCTAGAATGGAGCTATGAGGATTAGGGTTTTGTCTCTATGTTCTGCTCTAACTTATGCCTCAGGGAGGGGGTAGGGGCTGCTATATATAGGCCGAGGTGGAGTAGGGGGTCAAGGAATCAAGGTGGAGTAAGGGGCAAGGAATCGCCACATCATCGATCCATGTCAACTCCCTCGATCACCGTTGGATGAACCGACCTAAAACCGCCTTAGAATCAACGGTGTAGATCGTAGGAAGGAGTACGAGGTGGCGGAGGGCGATTGGTGGTCCTAGGGGGCCAGGCGGCCTGTAGGTGGGTCCGACTAGCCCTACCTGGCAGCCTCTCGGGCCTCGCCTCGGTGTATTGCCTTATGGTGTCTTCTAGATCCTTCCCAAGTTGTTTACGCGGCAGAATTCCGTAATTACCTTTGACGAATAGGTCCTCCTTGGCGGTTTTTTGATTAAATCCTCCTAGAGTCATATATTCACCAAAACTCGTGGAATTTATTAGTTTAAACCCGTATACCTATGTTTGGTGATGGAATTAAGCATATATGCAGGTTATGTTGATGGTTTATAATTGGTGTTAATGACCGTCAACAAGCTGCCTCAAGCTTAACCTTTGCCAGTCCCTGAGCAAAGCTTAAACTCAGCAATGGATCAGGAGTTGCTACAATGTTTTCATGCCTCAAAAGTACACATGCATTCAATCAAAAATTCTCCTCTGGATTAGAATAAACTAATCTGTCTTTTAAACTTACCCATATTACCTTCAACCATGGGGCTTCTCAACCTTCACTTGGGTCTTGAGTAATTGAAAGACATAACGATCAAGTCAAGCACTATGTCTCAAGTTCTTTGTTCCACCATTATTCTAGAGTTTTTTATAAGTTTTTAAAATAAAACCCAGAGATTTTATTATATGACACTCTCAAGTCTCTCAATATATATGGTATTTGTGGATCCTCATCAAAGGCAGTAATGATGTTATGCCTTTACCTCTTCCTACTACTAAGGCTTATGTGGACTAGGGCATACTTGCAATGCATATATTATAAAGTCAAACAACGGATCCAAAGAGAGATGAGTTATACAATTAAATCAAGATGTGCATGTGTGTGGAATATATGGTGGCTAACCTAATTCTATTTTGCTCCTTGAAAATATATCTCTCTTTTGAAATTTGGAAACACTTACTAGAGAGCAGGGCTATCTTATTCATCTCTCTTTTTTTCAGGCGCGCATCTAAGTACCCATTGTTTTTACTATCTTAGACACTTGTCCATTTTTTCAACTCTTTTTTTTTCTTTTCTTTCTTTTTTTATGAATAACCTTTGCATAGCCCCACATTCCTTTTCTACAACAAAACTTTATAGTAACAAGAACTTAGAGCATTTATTTGGTGGATGGAAAACCTAACAAACATGTTTTTGGTGTTCACTCCCAATGTAGGAGTAGAACATTTTTGGGTGGATCTAGATGGAAAGCATATTTTTGCATCTACCCCCGGTGTAGGAGTAGTGCATATATGGGTGGTGTGTATGTGATCTTGATTTTTAGAGCATGACAAACCTCTCATAAGGGTCAACAAAGCTTGACAAAACTCAATGCAATTACAAGCAACATATATGTGAAAGTTTTT